CACCAGTGCTGGACTTATAAACATGTGCTTTCATGTCCAACAGTGTTTTGGTTTGCTGTCGTTGTTGTTTGTAATATGGGTTCTAGAAATCAAACTTGGGGCCTCAGGCTCGAAAGACAAGCCTTTTACGGACAGTTATTTCTCCAGCGCCTACTGATCATTTTTGGAATAGGGGCTCACTGAAGACTGGACTCAGACTTTGAATTTTCCTGACTCAGTTTCCTACGATCATGGGCTTAAGCCACCATGCTCACCAACACCCCTCCTTTCTGCTTCCCCATCAACTAACTCCTCTTCAAATGGATCACTTGCCCTCCCTTCAAGGTCACCTCCTAGGACAGTGCTAACGAAGAAAAAGCTTTCCCAAGTTCTCTATGTAAAAGAAATTCTTCCTCCACCTTATGAAGCTTTCTGTTGTGGGCACCTGTGGCTTTCAGTATAAACCATTTTATCTTGTTTGTTGGAGAATGAAAATTCCCTAAGTGACTCTGGATGTACCAGTGGGTGACTGTCAACCCCCTAAGTGACTCTGGCTGTGGCAGTGGGTTACTGATAAATACTCTAAGTGATTCTAGGTGTATTATTGGGTGACTGTAAATCCCCCTAAGTAATTCTGGATGGGCTAGTGGGGGACTGTGAGTCCCTTAAGGGATCACAATGAATTATGAATATAACCAGTAGCTCCAACTCTTGGCATATATGGTTGAGGCTATGTTTTGGGAGAAATTTCCTGTTATCTACTATTTTCAAAACTATAATCAATCTTCTAGGAATTGCAATTTTGTGTCATTTAATGGTCTGTCATCAGGATGATGTCTCCAAGACCCCAGAGGGCAACAGGTAAAATGAAGAGCCTTACATTTTCTAAGGGGCTCCTCTGGGCCAGGCACCATGTCTTCATCATGTTTAATCCTCACCAGTCTTCACAACTACAGATCCCATTTACAAGAGAGGAGAAAAAGAGGTCCAGAATGGGATCAGCCTTCCCAAAGCCATGCCATTGATTGTTTGGAACTTTAAATTCAAAACTAATTCAGGTCTCAAAGGCTGATTGAGTCATTGAGTCATTTCTTGACTATAGATTTTTTTTCATTTTAACAAATTATTTTGTATTGAAAGTTAAATTTGTACATAAATTGGTTGAATAACGTAAAATATAGGACACAATTATATGTAATATAATAAGAAAGGTCCTATTTAAAATGTGAATGCCATCTTAGGTAGAGAGTATAGCCCAGAAAGCCAGGATGAGGGAGTTTTAATAGAATAGAGCAGTTGTGGAAAGGACCAAAAAAAAAAAAAAAAAAAAAACCCTGTCTAAAAAAAAAAAAAAAAAAAAAAAAAAAAAAAAAAAAAAAAGTCATTGAATGTTCACTAAACATAGCAGATTTTCTTTTTTTGTTGTTTTTGTTTTTTTTGGTTTGTTGGTTTTTTGTTTGTTTGTTTGTTTTTCGAGACAGGGTTTCTCTGTGTAGCTTTGCGCCTTTCCTGGAACTGGCTTTGGAGACCAGGCTGGCCTCGAACTCACAGAGATCCGCCTGCCTCTGCCTCCCGAGTGCTGGGATTAAAGGCGTGCGCCACCACCGCCCGGCTGCAGGTTTTCTTGTTAGGTTAGTTTTTTTAATTTTTATTATTTCTTTGATAATTTCATACAATGTATTTTGATCATATTGGTTTTCTTGTTAGGTTAGTTTTTTATTTTTATTATTTCTTTGATAATTTCATACAATGTATTTTGATCATATTCACACATACCCACTCCTTCTCCTAATCCTCCCATGGTCCTTCACGTGCTCTAACCACCCTGTAGGCCATTATTGTGAAGAAACTGAGGCTCAGAAGGCTCAGAAAAATCACTCAAGTTCATAACCAAGCAGAAGCTCTTGGGTTGAGCCAGGTATTTCTGACTGAAGGACCCACTGTCCTCCCTTGTTGCTGGAATGCTTTCTCAGACTCTAGTCACCCCAGGGGAGCTCTAAGTACAAGTAACATCAAGATAAGGAAGGAATAAGGATCAGTGTAAGAGTGAAATTGAATTGAAAGAGGTTCTATGAAAAGAGTTTTTCTTATTGACCCACACTAACCTGGGTCTCCCACCCAATGTGGCACCTAACATAACTACCGAGACTCAGCTGACCTAGGCACTGAACAGCACACTTGAGAACACGGTAGGACTTGTTTCTCTTTGGTTCTCTGTGGTGCTCTATGGATCTCCTTGGAGCCTATAACTGTTGTCATTTAGGAAGTAGGTAACTTTCTCCACAATTTGGTTTCTCCAGCTATCAAATTAGTTTGTTGGAGAGGATAGTCTAAAACTCGCCCGGTCTAATGTCTTGAAGGTCAAAAAAAAAAAAAAGAGAGAGAGAGAGCAAACTATAATGTTCTCCACTTACCAGCCAGTTGCTTTCTGGGGTCCTTCATTGGGGAACTAATCATGTCCAGACTGATTGTGGCTTTAAGAGTGCTTCTGTCGCTTGTTTTCAGGGTTTAAAGGAAGTGCTTAGGATTGGTTACACAATATTTTCTTGAAGGACCCATCTCACCCCCTGTAGGTGGCAATCTACCTTTGTCATTCATTTGACAAATCCTTACCAAGGCCCCACACAGGGTCTTGTGTGGGGTTCCCTGCTATGTGTTCCCTGCTATGGATACAGGCGGGGGGG